GGTAGGATGAAGTCGGCAACCATAGGGATAGTAATGGCAACATTTCCTAATTCAGATCATTGTCGCCACTGGATAAACTCATCCCATCTATTTAGTCACCCCTCTAGAGGCAGATTCAGAGAATCCGGAGGCCTGCATTCTTTTAGCTCCCAGGCAGGGAGATTTAGGTTGGGAAGATTCTCGTAGACAAGGTCCGATCTAGGTTGGCGCAGAAGATCAGTATTAACCGGTATTGGGAGAGGATCTTCCATTAGTAGGGCAAGGAGTCTGGGAAACCAAGGTGTTTTGGGCCAGATTGGGGCAATTCGAATTAGATTTCGCAAGGTCAAATAAAAGCGAGGTTTCCATCATCTGAGAACTGGACTTGGTTCCTCCCTGTTTCTGTATATATGCAACTACTGTGGTGTTGTCTGTGGCGATAAGAACTGAGGAGTTGGTGAGGAAATCTTTACAATTCTGGAATGCATAGAATATAGCCCTCATCCCCCTGCAGTTGATATGGAGATCCTTCTCAAGCTCCTTCCATGAGTCCTGTATCTGGAGATCTGCCAGATGCGCTCCCCAGTCCAAGTCTGGGGCGTCTGTAAACGGATGATGTTTTGGCGGGGAAAAGGTGAGAAAGATACCCGTCATGACATGCCAGGTCAGGTCCAGGAGAGATGTTAATCTTCTGAGGAGGGACATCCACCAACTGATCGTACGAGTCGTAATGTCAGTGCATTGTCGATTATGAGATTTAGGGATGTAAAGCGATCTTCTGGAGAGCAGAGTAAGTCCTTTTGAAGAAGAAATCAGGCTCCAATGTAATTCAGATCCTGGACAGGGATGAGCTCTGATTTGGAAGGGTGAATGGGAAATCCCAGACAAGTCATAGGTGTCTCAGAAATGTCCGGTTTGGAGATACCGTATTTTCTTGAGTATAGTGCGCACCCAAGTATAAAGCACATCCCCCTCTAGCGGATTCAGTATTTTGAAAAAAATATATATATATTTAGAATATTATGCGCAGAAAAAAATTACACCGAACCCCTTCAGCGAATTCCAGTAAACGAACGGGTGATAAGAAACTTGGTCAGTACAAATTTGAAATTTGAGATAAAAAATCACCTGACATGTTGATTTACCGTTTAAATTGTATTTATCGCTCATGATCGCGAGAACAACATGTTGACATAGAATCATCAAAATACAACAAATATTACTTTTAACAAGTCAAAGTATGGCATTTATGATATATGTATCCATTCTCAGTCAACTTTCGAGAACTGTCTTGTTTTGCCGCCAGAAAATCATCCAGGTATCCATGTAAGCTGATTAAAATGGAGATGGGCACAGCTGATCACTGAACGGCCATGGAGCAATCGAGATTCTGAAGGGAAGGACCTGGAACTCATAGCAATGCCCATTCACTGCAAACCAAAGGTATTTCTGACATAAGGGATGAATCGGCATGAGGAGATAGGCGTCTTAAGGATCTGTGCTAAAGGCCAAATCTCCCTCACACACAGGAGATCTTAGCTTCCAGACACATTCCATCTGGAATTTTGGAGGAGGTATGAGAAAATCCTTGTTCGGGATGTTGAGGTCGATGATCATTCTCAATTATGTGGTATTCTTCTTCGGTACTAGGAATACTTGAGAATAAATGCCCTTTCTGATTCTTTGCCAGAATGGATATACTTCTTCCAGGGTGATTCACGGAAGGGAGCATATCGTGAATGATCTCTTGGTCTTTCAGATGCATCATGAGCTCTGGCTGCGAGGTTGATAGTAGATACTTTCTGCTGTGATCTTGTCTAACCTCATCTATGATCTTCCCAAGTTGATTGTCAAACACCACAGGGGACATGATAGGTTGACTCATCAACATCTTCTTGGCCTGTGAAGATACAGCCTTGGATTTGAGGTGAGAGCTGTTGGCGTTGTAGCCAAATAAATTGAGAACATGTCCATACCTCCATACTGAGAAGTTCCTGCTGCATTTTGACGATTGCATCTAAAAGCATGTGGATAAGTGCTACTTGATCTACCCGAATAGGTACGGTGGTGTCCACCGGGACCTCGTCACAATCTGGTAGTGGTGGAGGGATGGCATGACGAACTCCTGCAACAAACCAATTAATATAGGAGCCGATGTCCATGGAGTATTTTTTGGCAGTGGATAGGTCATTGACACTATTAGCAGGTTGAGATAAGGTTGAAAAAGATTATGGTCCAATTCTAGAGTCTCTGGGAACGGTGACTCATGTGTCGGATACAATTTTTTCTCCAAGTTAGGGAGAGGCAGTCTGTCATCATGTTGAAGTTTTTGAAGATTGTCTGAGGCACATTCAATAATCCCTTGCACATAACTTGGCCATGGGAATAGTCTGGTGGACGTGGGATGTTACTGGGGTGTGACAGCCTGCATATTATGTCATTAGTGATGGAACAGATTGGTCTGTACAGGGAGCTAAGCTTGGCATCTAATGGAAGAGAGTGTCCAGTAAATCCACAAAAGATAAAGGCATGCCAAATTCCCGCAGTCGAGAAGTTTTAACATTCTGACATACTTCCTCAACTTCCGGTTCAGATTCAGAAGGGATGTGGGAGGCCGTTATATGCTGGTCATCTAAATGGTTAGAGTCTAGGCAGATAAGCGGATCCACATAATGCCCATGCTGGTCATCGTCTGATGGTGTCCATGACTCTGGCAATATCTGTCCACATCATGCCGTCCCCAGTGCTGTCCTTAGTGGCTAGTCCCGTTACTGGTTGATAATACAAGTGGCAGGTGAAGGCACCATACGGTGCGTAGAGCGTAGAGTCTATGTCGTCCACACAGAAGATGGATGGTGGTAAACCTGACTCCTTAACAATGGGCAGTCCATAAGAGAACCATGAGATGGCTTCTCTTCTGGATTAGTCAGACGGTTGGTAGAGCCGTGCAGGGAAATGAATGGTCTTGCTACCCGTGAGGGTAAAGTTGACGGCAGTTTGGAGATGGACGGTCAGTTGGTGGCTGGACTTCCGGTGGCCGTAAGTGGCTGACATCATGAGAGAGAGAGATTGTCCTCTGTACAGGTTGATTTTCTGCACTTCCAACACTCTAAGTGTGACAAGTCGACTGAGGAGGGGAGGATACCATCGTGGAGAGATCGAAAGATAAAACTTATGCAACTAATACTTAGGAATCAAAGTCCATAAAACTACTGATACATTAGTAGGATTAAGAAAGAAACTTACCCTATTTTCTTGAGTATAGTGCAGACATTTTTTTCTCAAAAAACCAAAGCTGTGTAGAAGGGGGTGGACATTATACAAGCCATAATAAGTTTTGATGTTTTTTCCCCCAACATAAAGACATTACTGTGAGCACTTAACACACATCTTTCAATATTGTTTAAATTAATTTAGCGAAATAGTGTGTGAAGTGATAGGTAGATCGGACAACTCACCGTTATTTACAGCAACCACTATTGACACCTTGAAATGAACTTTAGTTGACAGAAGTTGGATATATATATCATAAATGCCATACTTTGACTCGTTAAAAGTCATTTTTTTTGCATTTTGCCAATTCTATGTCAATATATAGTTCTCGCGATCATAAGCGCAGGCGCCTCGACAGTGACTGGTCAAATTAGTCCATGCTGGGAATAGTGATCAGCTGCACAGAAGTGCTATGCTTATGGTTATTATTATTTTAAATATATTTAGTAAAAGCTGCAACTAAAATAACATGATATTGGAATAAATTATTCCTGATAAAATAATAGTTTCAAATACATTTTTTCCGATCATTGCATCAAAATTCTTCAAAGTTATATCATTGGGTAAGTATTAACCAAATCAGAAAACGTGCACAGCTGATTGCTGTTTCCAGCTTAGTTTATGAGAAAATACACATGGTAATCTTAATCTCTGCATGTAAAACAATGTCTTGCAGAACAGCAAAACACCGTACACTTTGAAACGGTAAATCAACATGTCTGGCGATTTTTTATCTCATATTTGAAATTTGTATTGATCAAGTTTCTTATCACCCGTTTGTTTACCTGAATTTGCTGAAGGCGTAAGATGTAATTTGTTTCTGCACATAATACTCTTTTTTCCAAAATACTGAATCCCCTAGAGGGGGTTTGCATTATGCTTGGGTGCGCACTATACTCAGGAAAATATGGTATACTTAAAAGTATAAGAATGGTGTGACTACAGGTAAGTGCTTGAGAAATACGGAGACGTGTAGACTCCAGCACTCACAGGAAAGAAGGGAGGTTTTCCCATCTTCACGCACAGAAGAGCTGTAAGCTGCTAAAGTGCCATGGCAGGAACAACTATTTTCTATAGTTGACAGTGAAGAGGACCCCAGTTGAAAAATCTGAAAGTTTAGTATGGTGTGATTGCAGCCAAAATACAGGATTTATGGCAATGACGTAATAGAGGTAGAGTATCGCAAGAATTAACATTGTTTTTAGAGGCACTTTTCTATACATCGGGAACAGAAGAAATGAGTAATGGCTATAGTACTCTAAGTAAGATCTTGAGTATTGGGTGTCATACTGATGTGTTCACTCTTCCACATGAAGAATGCCTCCATTTAAATGCCGTTAAGTTTCCTTTGGAAGGACAACGACAACAGCATCTGACAGGATTGATGATACAAGAAGGTGTAGTGGGGGACAACATGAGTAACAGATCAGGAAATATATACGTGGCTCTCCAATTATTCTGCAAAATATTGATGCTTGGCATTGCGATTTATATTGCAACACTCGACAGTACCATATGATGATGTATCGTTGCCCATCTAACATACACACTGAGTGATCAGGGTTTTACACCTCTCTTCTCAAGTTAACAGCTACAATGTACTGCACTAATAGTACATGTGAGGAATCACACACTTCGATCTTAGACGAACAAGAGCTTTGATCACCTATTGGGTAACCAACAACCATTGTCTGGCACACAGGATGGAAATAAATCTTCATGACAACCTTAACTTCATGTTAACATACCTGCAGCCCCTTCATTCGAGGTTTCATCATCTGTGCCTGAAGAAGATATAGCTGCAGGATCGTCACCTGAAACAATAAGCACCATTGTAATGATTCACCTGCTGAATAACCCCATCAACCAATGATCAAGTACATTTCCCAGTCACCATTTTAAATGCTAAGTAAAAATGTCTCACTGATCACAACAATATTAAACCATTTTGATTTTCAATGTTTAACCCAATGCATTGCTCAAAATGTGCTGAAGTAGACTTGAGAAACAGTTTATTTTAATGTATGCCCTGACATGAATTTTTTTTTGGAAAACAAGATATTACTTAAAAGTAAGAAACATCCCAATATACACTAAAAACAAAATAACACTGAAGATATAAAATATGGTAACATATGTTGCTATAACTGTAAGTTTTCAGGTATAGTCAATCAGTGGGATTCCCATTTGAGCTTCACTGCTCCAAAAGTGGCTAAATTGTGACAAAAGGCTTATCACAGCACAGAGGCCAACATTTTGAGCATTGTTACCATGGCAGCCACAATGACATTTGATTGTATCAAGATCGTACACCATAAGGTCATCATTGATGATATCTTGATGGGGAAGGTTGAGGTTCTTTATTTAAGAGGATCTTTTGCAAGGATCTTACAAAGAATAGATGGGCAGATGACACACCATAGCATAAGGTTGTCTGATGATTTTATCATCTATCTTTGAAAACCCAAATAAATTGAACTTTCAAGAGATCCAAATTCATTCGCTTTAGATGTAGACCTGCATGATGCTGATTCTTCAGTCTGAGACTTCGAAGAGTATTCTGAAGAGCATTTTTTATACACTTTAACATAATTACCTTATCTGAAAGTGGAAAATCAGACATGAAAAAATCCCACTGCTGCTAGTATGTCATATTTTGTCTGAGAGACAATTAGGTCTTCAATGACCTTTTAAGGACCATTGCGGATCTGATTAGAATCATTAGTGAGTGAGTATGGTTTTACATCGCTTTTAGCAATATTTCAGTAATATCACAACAGGAGAATCATTAGTAGATAGGTAGGTAAAAGGATATGCACAGTGTCTTGGAAGGTTAGCAAAGCCTTTCAGTTAACAGTTACAGCTCTCAGCTCACTTAATTGAGCTTGGTCTATTTTGCTATCAACATATTACAAACAATGATATTTCAGGATTTCACTATAGGCCACATACAATTCCACCTGGATAGAGTGTGTACAACATGATGCCTGCTTTTGCACAAGTTACTTCATTTTTAAAGAGACATTAGAAATACACATAATTTGAAGAAGAATGAAAACAAAGACATTGAACAATTGTATAAGGTAATGACTGCACCAGGTTGTTTTGTGCTGTGTGATAGGATGGACTGGTCCCTGTGCTGGACCATGGGAATAACACAAACTGAATGTTTTCCTGCTGCATCATATCAGTATTCACAGTATCCGTAAAAAGAGAGAAGATATGAAGGAGGCAATCAATAAGCAAAGGCCACTATTGGGGTACACCATCACACTAATACAGCTAAGCCATAAAGTGGTCACATCTTACTTTCTTTATTAACCAACCTCAGAAATTCCTGTCAGCAATGTTTCAACCATACCAAGCCAGTGGACACTGGAAATGGGCTTCACACATTGCACCCTTGTAGGGAATTGAAACCAGGTCTTCAGCATGATCAGTCAATGCTTTAACCACAGGACTACCCCGCTGCCCCTCTCCTCACAATGCACAACCTTCTCTACCTAATATGTGAACTATAACGAGTATATTTTACACCACTTTTAGCAATATCCCCTGGAATATAACCATTGGGAAACCCAGCAATGGGCATGTGAAATATTATTACCAAAGTTTTGAAAATATTCAGTAAGGATGGTTGCAAGCGCCAACACTGGCCAAGACCAGCAAATTGCTGACATGCTATTCCTTGAAATGGCAAGCTACCGGGTGCACTACATGTATAAAATACAAAAAAACAATGTGGAAGTGGAAAGGGACATACAATAGGATGCCTGCAAAATGTAATCTGATGACAGGAGGCAAATGTCAAATTACCTTATTTTATAATAAAACCTTGTCTATAATGAAGAATACCCATGGAACATTTAATTTATCAGAATGTATGAACCATTCTACAAACAGAACAAAGTCACAGCCAAGCAACTATGAACACTTTCATTTATTTACACAAAATAGTTGCCAAAGTTTCCATTGTTGGTCAGCGAATGCATATTTTTCAAGTCTGAAATACATGCCGGTGATAAAGCCGTATCTCATTACTCTTTATAACAATGTTCATTTCCGAAATTGACAAGAGATTAGTGCAAATATATTGCACTGTAATCACAGCAGTCATTCAAATTGAAAACAGATAAAGCTGAAGATAAAATCACTTGGACAGTTCAAAATAATCTCCAAAAGACATTTGGGTAACTGCAGTAATGGCTCAAATGATGTCTTTATGCGGTGGAACAGAAAAAAAGAAATGGTATTTATTTATCATGCGATCTGCATGCCAGCATGGAAGTAAGAAGGAGATAATTTGAAAATGATGTGCAATGTATATGAACATCGTTGTAGGCAGTTTCAGACAACAGGACGAGAAATCTGATGATCATAAAGTGCAAAAGAAATTGAGGATGTCTGATGGTTCATATCATTTAACTTTTTCTAAGAGAAGTATTCCTAAATTCTTTACAATATAAGTTAAGTGTCTAAATGAAAAAAAGAAAGGGATTGGAGTGCATTTTATTGCAATGAATGCACTTGTCTACTATCACACACAATTTACACCACTGAGGCATATCAGCAAATCATTCACTATGATTATTCACTATGTTAGCAGTTTCACAAAAAGTAATAATAATTGTATTATTTTATTTTAAATATTTTAACTACATATGATAAAATGTTTATAGGAAAACATGATAATATTAATATGTGAGCATCGTATTTTATTTGCAAATCTTTACGAAAGTGCACATTTACGCATTTCCTTTAATTTCTAATAAGCAGCGATATTCCATCGATGATGTCATACAGTGCTATGATGTCATACCCCCATTCCACTAGGTGGCGATCCACGGTGATCTACGCGATCTGAAGGAGCACCATAGATCACCATATAATGAGGCGATTTTGGGGTACTTGTGATCCGATTGCGATCAGATAGCGATCCAATAGCGATCTATGTGATCCGATAGCGACTTGATGGCGCTTGATCGCCACCCAACCACCCCAAAATGTGGCGATCTTGCACGATCAGTTCCGGCTCCATTCGCGATCCGATGTGATCATGGTGCGCTCCAATGGCGCTCTATTGGCGATCCGATGGCGATCATTGTGATCTATGGCGCTCTTCTCTGATCCGATAGCGATCGAGTGCGACCTATGAAGATCCGTTAGAGCTCAAGTAGCGCTCTAGGCAATCCGATTGCGACCTGATCTCCGCAAAGGGGCCCGATCCTATAAAAACCTGTGGCGTTCAGCCGCGCTCTTCAGTTCTGTGCTTGGCAGCAGACGGGTATCACCATGAACCATAGACATGCTGCCATATTACTAGTGATTTACAATCTCGTGAACCATGCCATCGTGAACCAGCAGATTGCTATTCTGGCCCAGCAGCCTCGAAGAAGAAGGAGAAGGAAGGCTTTTTGGGTGAGACCCTGAAGCGCCATTGGAGCGCCACCGAGCGCCACAGGGTGGCGATCCAAATCGTGAACCAAACAGTGAAGCACAATCAGAGCGCCATTGGAGCGCAATCGGAGCGCCAATGCATCTCCGAGGAGCGCCATCAGATCGCCATGGAGCGCCGAAGATCGGTAGGCCAGCTTTTGTGGCGATCGGCGGCACTCTATGGTGATCCGATAGCGCTCCGATTGCGACCTTGGCGATCAAGTAGCGCTCCGATGGCGATCTAGGTGATCAATTAGCGCTCCGATGGCGATCTAGGCGATCAATTAGCGATCTGATGGCGCTCTGGGCGGAGCACCACGGATCTTTGTGCAGGGGAGTCAACCGGCGGCGACCTTGGCGATCATGGAGATTAGTTAGCGATCTGTTAGCGATCCGTTAGCGCTTTTGGCGATCTTGGCGCTCTATATGGCTCTCTATGGCACTCTCACGGAGCGCCGTGGATCGCCGCCTAGTGGAATAGGGGTATCAGGCAAAAATGTTACAATGCAGTGATGTCATTTCAAAGTACTATTATTTCAGCAGTATTCCCATCATCCTCATAAATGTCTTATTTTAATACCTATAATGCCATATGTTTGACGATTCTCACTTGCTTCACCTTCATAACCTCAATAGGTTGACTTACACTGTGTTGTTAGATCACTCCCATATCAGGGAATATAGGTCACCAGCAACCTGTTTGCAGGAAGAGGCCACTAAATGAATCAGGTGGACAGGCTCGGTGGCTTGGTTGATTGTATGTCATCTTATACCAATTGCATGCATCGTTGCTCATGATGTTAATCATGAGTTTGTCTGGTCCAGATTTGATTATTTATAGCTGGAATATTGCTATGTTAAACAACATCAAAACAAAAACTTACACAACGTTTGAGTTGCACAATGATTACAAAGTCGTTCCATGAAACATTTTTAAAGAGTGTCAATGATCAAACAGAAGATAAGTTATTCAAGTATTTATCTATTAGTGAAGGGAAAATGGAGATCTTCAAACAATTTTGGGGGGCAAATATCCTGCTTTCATTACTTTTCACATGATGCAGATGCAGCTTTTACTAAGACATTTGACCTGGGTTGTCCTCTAGATGATATCCGACATTATGAGGTGGACATGTGTGTGATCAAATTAATGCCATAACAGGTTTGATTGTTATTGCTAAAGTAGATCACAGAAAAAGTTCTGGCGCCACAGATCTCTCCATGCCCTGATGGGCCAATGGCTATTCAAAGAATCATACAACTTATGTGCAACAAAAAATATTATCTATATGACATTAGCTGTTAGGTGGGATATGACATCTTTCATAAAACCATGGTCATAGGCTAGAAATATCTGCTTCAGGAATGTTTCCCTGCA